TGGAAAATGTGATAAAGTAATGGCATTAATAATAATGGAACCAAAACATTAACAATCCACATCATCATTGCATCACTCCCAGTGCTCATCTCATCATTCACAGATTGCAATTTGCAATTTGCAATTTGCATGCTCACACACTCACTCTCGCTTCACTTCACACTCTCAAACTCAACTCAACAAACAAAACAAACAACACCATCCACTTCTCAATCCACCACCACTCAACACAATGCGTTCTTGGTTGTATTCTGGATTTTCGATTACCCAAAATACCCTCCCAGCGATTTATTTATTTTTTCTCCTCACAGCCCCACGCGCCTCCTCCGCTCTCAACGTCACCGCGCTCCTCTCCACCGTGCCGGACCTCTCCCAATTCACCGCCCTCCTCGCCTCCGCAACGCCACTCGCCTCCGATCTCTCCGACCGATCCTCCCTCTCCATCCTCGCCGTCCCCAATGCTTACCTCGCCGCAGATGACCACCTCGCCCGCCACCACCTTTCCCCCGCCGCTCTTGCTGACGTCCTCCGCTACCACGTCCTCCTCCAGTTCCTCTCCTGGTCGGACCTTCGCGCTCTCCCCCCCGCCGGGAAACTCGTCACCACGCTCCTCCAAACCACCGGACGCGCCACCGACAACTTCGGCTCCGTGAACCTCACGCGCGACCCCCAGTCCGGCCTCGTCTCGATCCGTTCCCCCGCCCCTTACTCCCCCTCAAACGCCACCGTTTTGTCCCTCGTGAAAACCCTACCCTACAATGTCACCATCTTCGCCGTCAATTCCCTCCTCATCCCCTACGGCCTCGACCTCATGGCCTCCGAAACCCGCCCCAACAACGTCCTCAACATCACCAAAGCCCTAATCGACGGCCACAACTTCAACGTCGCCACCTCAATGCTCGCGGCCTCCGGGGTAGTTCAGGTAGTGTTCGAGATACAGTTACTGAATTTGAACTCAGTTTGTTTTTTTGTTACAATGTTATTGATGTGAAAATCTCTATCATATACATTTTTGCACTTTGACATTAACTAACTAATTAATTTCCTTAATTATATCTCCAATTTTAGGAATTTGAGGCTGATGAGGGTGGTGCTGGAATCACTCTTTTCGTCCCTGTGGATGATGCCTTTGCTGATCTTCCACCCTCTGTGGCCCTTCAGTCTCTACCTGCAGATAAAAAAGGGGTGGTTCTTAAATTCCATGTGCTCCATTCCTATTACCCTCTTGGCTCGCTTGAATCGGTTGTTAACCCCTTCCAACCCACCCTAGCTACCGAGGCCATGGGGGCTGGTAGCTTCACGCTCAACATTTCGCGGGTGAATGGCTCCGTTGCCATCAACACCGGCATTGTGCAGGCCTCAATTACGCAGACCGTGTTTGATCAGAACCCTGTTGCCATTTTTGGGGTTTCCAAGGTTCTCTTGCCCAGGGAGTTCTTTGGCAGGAATCCAGTTGTGACTGCCAAGCCTGTTGAAGGTGCTCCTCCACCGGATGATGATGCTCTGTCGCCCGAGAATTCGCCGGGATTTGATGGACAGCCCTCTCACCTGTCGTCGCCACCGGGGTTTCGCGAAGATGTGCGGTCTCATGGTGGTGGTGGTTCCTTGTCCTTTGTTGTTGTTCTTTGCTGTATAGGATTGTATTTTGTGGTATAGAATTACTGATTATTTTTTCGTGGGGTTTTGTTTTAATTTTCTCCACCTTCTGTACACTGTTAATTGTATTATTAGGTTGCAAATGCAGCCTTTTTTTTTCATTTCATTTTCTTGCTTTTTTGTTATCTTCATTTTTACAATTTATTTTAAAATTTTCGATTGTGCCATTGATCTAATAATTAGTGTAATTAATTTAGGAGGTCAATGTTGTTTTCTGCTTTTATTGTTTCCTCCCTTGTATTTTGAGATACATAATACAGTCCAATTTCATTATTTGTAAGTGATATAAGCCTTGTCATCTTGTTTAAGACATAATTATCCTTAGAATTCGGTTGACTGCGACTTTCTCTGTTGTTATCAAAACCCATATAGGGTGTGTGCCTTGCAGAGTAGCTAATTTCGTTTGGTGCAGGAGTATGTGCTGCTTGCTTATTACTGTTGTCTTATGGCCATCAGGTAGTTCCTTTTTAAACTACAATTGATGATTACATATTCGGTAGTATTAACCTGTAATTTAGGTGCAAATAATATAAAATATCATCATATAGTGCAAGTTAAATCATATTATTTGTAAAAAGAAAAATAGTAAATTTGATGTCAACATTTTTGTATTGTTATATACAATGTGCTGTATGTATTGAATTTATTTGTAGCTTTTCAGAGTCTATGGAATTTCTGGCTGTAGCTTCCTGTTTAGTATTAGCTGTGATTAGCATTTGCTGGTTCCCTTTTTACACTACACAGGAATGACATTTTTTTGTTTTTACAACTTTATGACTAATCATAATCTGTTTTGAAATACTTAATTGCAATGATCCAGTGAATGGGATGATTGAATAGAATTGACGTGTTATGGCACTAGAAACTGACCAAATTTATATATATTATGCTGCTAGTTTTATCTGTTGTCATGCAATGCATTTCTTGTTCTTCTTGATTCAGTGTTCTGATTGAATTAATTTATTGTTTTCATTGTTTGCTATGTTGCAAGTACTATAGAACTGGGGAATAAAGAACTGTTGTGAGTGAAGATTATAAATATGAAGTTTAGAGTGTTGTTGCTAGTAAAGATATAATAAGATTGCTAGATTCATGCAATGCAAACACACTTTATGAAGTTGCCCTTGTAGTTATTTAGATATTGAGAACAAGTGTGGATGATATAGTACTGGTGGTGTAAGTTTGGTTTTGAAAGGATCTAAGAAGCATCTTGATTTAGCCTTGAGGGAGATTAATCTATTAGGAGGAGTTCTTTTTGCCTTTTGTAAACCTTCTTATTTCATGTTTTTACTTTTGTCGTGAAACTTGAATTCAGTTGTCTTATCTGCTGATGCTGCAGCCAAATGTCCTACTACCAATATTTTATGTGTATCTGTGTTAATTTCCACCTAGTTCAAAAGTTTAGAAGAGAAATAGAAGAAAAGACGGGATAATTACATGAATCATTTTTCTTTAGCTATGATTAGTTTGATGGACACCATAAAGGCAAATGTCCTATCACCAGCGTCTTAGGCAGTTGATATTGCTGGTATTGGATAGGCAATATATTTTTGTATGTGGGTTGGTTTAGACCTAGCACAAAAGTATAGGAAAGAAATAGAAGAAAGACACAAGAATGGAAGATTTTTCAGTTAAGCATTTCTATAATTGGAAGATTTGATGCCATTGATGCGAAACACAATTTAGCTAACCTCAACAAGTGTAAATGGCTTTTGTTGTTGGTGCAAAATCCAAGATTAAAATCTTGCCTCAGTTATATGTTTTTGGTTCTTTTAGAGTAAGTTTTGCTTCTTTATATTTTTGGTTGCTTAATATACTGCAAAATAAGGAAAATATTGTTTGATACTAGATTACTCTAAACGTTGATGGTCGTCTGTTTCCTCTCATTGCTATGTGTTGTCTTGGAAATATGCTGTAATATCATATGTATTCTTACAAAATTCATTTGAACGTGATGCATTTTGGTGGTCATGGTTAGATTCAGGTCACTTGTCTTAGATTGATTATCGTTCAATTGATCGGGATGTTCTATTTTTTTTTTTTTAGGAATTTACTTTCTCTGTATGTGTGACACCAAGTAAGTGTTTCAAATCAGCAAATCACAAAATCTACTCTTTTGTGACGAGTACATTTGCCATATTATATACTAGGGAAGTCAAATTCATGAACGACTCCTAGAATAAGGGTGATAGTAACTTGTTTGCGTCTTCAAATATTGAGAAATTATTGCCTATTGTTAAAGTAGCTATATTTGGTGGTTAATATCTGTGCCGGGTACCAGCTGGAGTTAAGCCTTGTCATTGTCATTGTTTTTAGGACAAGGAATGACACCTTACGAACTTATGGTCAGGATAAGGATACCGAAAAGTGACAATTACATTGATCAGACTGAGCAGACCATGACTTTTTTGAAAAGATCTATGTATATGTGTGCACATGTGTGTGTACATGGGATGCATGATAACAGGACGAGTCTAAATTTTTAATTTAGACTTCTTAAGTTCTGGAAATAAAATATATTATTATAAATCTTGTTTAAAACTGGAGATAATTAAATTATTGTATATAAGGTTTATAATAAAATAATATTTTTATTCATAAAAAATTCTTATAATTAACTTTTTTTTAAGATATCCATAAGTAATTATAATTATAATTTTTGACTTTACAAAATTTAATCTGATTGATAATAAAATCACATAGACTGGTAGTAACGAGAGATGTGAACACAGACGAATAATGATATAATAGAACTGCCAAAATCTAACTAGAACATTTTAATGATACCAGGTACAGGTATAATTCCATCTTACATCAAGTATGGATTTACATTCTGGGGTTACTAAAAATGGTTATCTATTCTGTTTATTTTAAAGCTAGAAAAATATTAATCACCGTTCTTTTCTATTAATCTATTTTAGATTAACTTAGTCTTATACTTTAATCACAATTAAGGAATCAAAATTAATTTTATAAAACTAAATCAATCTGGTTTTAAAACAATAACTAAAATGTCTTTTAGGCGATATTCATTGAATAAATTTATTGCATATAATATCCCACAGTAATGAATGATGGTGCACCAATGGACCACTTCCAAAATTCAGTGGAGTGGAGTGCATTTGAACTTGTTTATTCTGATGTCTATTCAAAACTAGTAAAACTAAGCGCAGAGAATGGTGGTTTTGATTTTCAATACATTTTGCAATTCCCTTTCCGTATTATATGGTCCTTCTCTTTTATGGTTATTTACCATGTCTTTCTTTTGGATGGATATACCATGTCTGAAGAGAAGGGAGACAAAGCAGGTATAGTTTGGGGCCATTCTAGCCTCCTTCGTAAATCTATCCTCTGTTATGTTTCCATCTTGTAGTTACAGCATTAATGATGTCTGCCTTCACGCCTTTGTGGGGCTGGTTGGCGTACTTACTTCTTGCAGCTTTTGGATCCCTGCATTTACAACCAAGAAGAAATATGTCATCATTTTTCTTCTTCGTACACAGAATTAGTGTTTTTTTTTTTTATTGGAGAAAACGGTCAGTTTATTTGCTATTTTTATTATTAAATAAATAGATTTCTGTTTTTTAAATAAGTGATTTTTTAAAAATTACTCATTCCAAAAACTCCTATTTGAAGTTTAAATAAACTGGTCCAATATCATTCAAGTTAACAAAGTATTAGACAGAACAAGTGATGCAGTATTTTCACAGGAGATTAGTTAACAATCCTCGATCTAAAACAAAAAAATTGGTCCCCGGTAACCCTTGCGGCTTGGAGTCTGGACGTTAATAATCAATGGCAGGACATGTCTTAGGAGTGCATCTGGGCCCTTGCTGGCTGGCTCGGTTATATGCATTGATGGGGTAACTGTAAAATCATTCCAATCTCCAGGACAAGATATAATGTTTGGATTAAAAAGCTAACATAACTGCATGAAGGGTAACGCATGTTCATTATGTTCTGAGAAGGTCTTCTAGAATGTGACCAGTGGAATTGGGCCATGAAAGAAAAAGGAAAGAAGGAAAAAGAGGAGATGGAGAGTGAGGTTGGTGGGTCTAATTGATAGTAGAGATTGGAGGAGGTAGGTAGATTGGATATTTTCTCGTAAGGCAGCTACTGGTAAGTAGCAAGAACTAGCTTGGTCACATCGAGGTACAGTCCAGCTAGTAAGATGATTCAACGAGAGCGATTGAGAATGACTTCCTTCGTGGTCCTCTACGCTAACTCCAAAGCTGCACATTGGGTAACACTTTCCTGAATTTGCAGACTTCATAGCAGTTTTTGGCTTTAGAAATATGACAAATAAATTCTTGAAATTGAAATTTGTTAATCATGTTAATTCCGTTATCAAGGTAAAACATGTTAATAATAAACATACCCCCACCTGAACTCAGCAGTATGTTCTCATTGCCAATATGCTTGATGTTCCAAGAATAAGAGGAAATAACTACTCTGAATAAGCTCGAGGTTGCACATTGATTATTTACATCAACATATTTACTTCGTAAGAGATGTGAACTAAACCCAAAAATCATTCCAGAAATTATATTTCTCCAACATTAGAAAAAAGGGTTAGAACTTTCTAATTTCAAAAGAAAAAGAAAGGTATCAACATTCTGTTATCTGTTCATACTACTATTGTTTATCACTTTCTTTGAAAGTCTCAAGCAGCATATTTCCCTTCATCATACTGCCACATATACAAGTGGGTGTATAAGCGTTTTCTTAGTTTTATTAAGATATACTTGTAATACAAGACTGAGACTGAGTTATACTGAACACTGACACATATGAACAAGAGAAAAAAAAAAGATTAAAATTAAAACTATCAATAATGTACAATGATGTTTGTCAAACGAATTTCTCCTAAAAAAATCATATTACTTGATCGAAGTATACGTGAAAAGGAGAAACTTGTGTATGGTGTATGATGTTAATTGTAGCAGTTTACTAAGTTTCAGGACTAAGTATGGTCCTCTGGAGTGAGATTCTGTTTGCTGTCACACCTATCCGTCAACATATACTCGAACAACATCCACTATTTTAGCTCGACATATGGGACATTTTCCACTGTTACATTGCAAATCCATGGCACACTTGAGACACGCACACATGTGTCCACACCTGCAATGAAGTTGGCAATGACATGAGTGAACTTTTCTCTGAAAATGGAAACAAAATCATTTATAGCAATGTTCTTCATTCAGAAGCAGTTACCTACCTATACATAACCGAGTCAACTTTCATGGCATGGCAAATGCAGCAGTTGCCTTTCTTTGGTGTCCTGTTACAGGACTTCTTTTCTTCTTTTTTAACTGCAATGGTGTTTGCATTGCATGGCTTAAGTTATTGAAAGATAAACAGGAAAAGACATAGAGCATCAAAAGAAAAATGATTGAGACCATTATCGTGTAGACATGTTCAGCTTCAATACAACACAATAACTGATTGGAAAAAACAAAAAGATAGGACAGAAAGTGATATGAACCTTATTTATACAAGTGCTAATTTAGGATCTTTAGAGTTAGAACATTATAGGAAATTTAGAAAATTAATGAGAAGGTGGATTAGAAAGTGGTGAAAATTTCAAAGTTGAACAACAAGTTGAATTTTATTTAAAAATATTAGAGTTTAGCTTTTTTATCTTAGTGAGAGTAATTTTCCTAAGTCCTTGAGTGATTCAAAAACTCTTGACTGTATCAGAGGACTTTTACATCCTATGTGAGTTGCCTCCCAAAGTGATTCTTTCCTTTGACTTTTCACATTCACCCTTGTTCTTTCTTTCCCAGAAGCTAGAAAACTTAATTTTGCCCAACCCTGAAATTTTCACCATTTTCTAATCCACCTTCTCATTAATTTCCTAAATTTCTTATAAGGTTCTAACCCTAAAAATCCTAAATTAGCTCTTGTGCAAATGAGGTATTTGGAGCTTCGATTTAAGGGTTTGAACGTACAATCAATGAGAAAGCTTAGTCCAGTCCAAATGAGGGCATTGACACAACATTTGGAAGGATTAATGATATGACATAACAATGAACTCCATGAAAGATTGGATTGATTGGAAAATAGAGGTCCTGAAGATGAAGAAGAAAGGAGAAATAGGAGAAGGAATGGAGTAGCAAAACCAAGTAGGCTTGAAGGAGTTAAACTTAACATTCCTCCATACAAAGGAAAAAGTGATCCAGAGGCATACTTGAAGTGGGAGACGAAAATAAAACATGTTTTCTCATGTAACAATTATGAGAAGACCCAGAAGGTGAGGTTTGCAGCCACAAAAATTTTCAACTATGCTCTTGTTTGGTGGAACAAGCTACAAAAGGAGAGAACTAGAAATAAGGAGTCAATGATTGATACATGGACTGAGATAAAAAAGATGATGAGGAAGCGGTATGTGTCGGCTAGTTACTCAAGGGACTTGAAATATAAACTCCAAAAACTTACTCAAAGCAATAAGGGGGTTGAGGAGTATTTCAATGAAATGGATGTGCTCATGATTTAAGCAAAAATTGAAGAAGATAAAGAAGTAACTATGGTCAGATTTATTGGTGGTTTAAATAATGATATACGTGATATTGTTGAGTTGCAGGAGTTTGTTGAGATGGAGGATTTGATTCATAAAGAAATTCGAGTGAAGGAACAACTTAAAAGAAAAAGAGTGGCCAAGAAGAGTTCTATCAACTTTGGATCTTCAAGTTGAAAGGACAAAGACAAGAAAAATGGGTTGTTGCTTCTAGTAGTTTCACAACTATTCCCGTAAAGACTCCTTCAATGTCCCAAGAACAACCCTTTAAAAGAAGTAGAGAAGTGAAGTGTTTAAGTGTCAAGGTCTATGCTTATGAGTGCCCTAACAAAAGTTCCATGGTTATATATAAGTGAATCTGAGATTGAAGAGGGAGAGGAGAGTGAGGACATTGAGGAGGAGGAGGAGACTCCAAAGGAAGATCTATTGATGATTAAGCATTACTTGGTAGCCAATTGAAGCCTATGGAAGAAAACCAAACAGAAAACATCTTCCACACTAGATGTTTAATCAATGACAATGTGAATGATGATCATAGATGGAGGTAGTTGCACCAATGTGGCTAGTGCTAGATTAGTGTCAAAGCTAAATTTAGCTTTTAAACCATATCCTACACCTTATAAACTTCAATGACTTATTAATGATTAAGAGGTGCAAATGAGGCAACAAGTTGAGTTTTATTCAGAAATATTAGAGTTTAGATCTTTTTATTTTAGTGAGAGTGATTTTCCTAAGTTCTTGAGTAATTCAAGAACTCTTAGCTGTATCAAAGGACTTTCACATCCTTTGTGAGTTGCCTCCTTTGGGAAGGGTGATTATTTCCTTCTTTGTGAGTTGCTTCCTTTGAGAAAAGTGATTCTTTCCTTCAATTTTTCACATTCACCTCTTGTTCTTCATTCACATTCACCCCTTGTTCTTCATTCACCAGAACCTAGAAAACTTAATTCTGCCCAATTCTGAAATTTTCACCATTTTCTAATTCACTTTCTCACTAATTTCCTACAAGTTCTATCCCTAGACAAAGGAATTCTGTAATTGGTATGCGATTGAAGGCATTTTCTTGCATTAGAAGTGAATGAGGGATAAAACTTGTGTAAGAAAAAATTGTTTGATTAGATTTTCCTTTTGGATGAAGGGAAATCTTCTTTTTGAACTTGCGGAATGATTGAATTTCAGCCAACATAGAGATTGCGTTAGAAAAAAACTTGTTGAAGAACATGAAGCTTGTTTGAAAATAGTGTGTTCAAGTATTCAAACTTATTTGAAAGTTAATGTTATTAGAGATTCAAATTGTCAATGACAGCATGGTAATAAGATTGGCACCTATTTTCCCTTTGTTCCGGAAGTCTATGAGCTTATTGAATTTTATGATGCATTGACAATTTTGTACTAACGCACTGACATTGTCACAGATAAAAAATTATAGAAATGAGCACAAACCTGAATGAACCTCTTGTTTCATGGTTTGTTGTAATTCCACCTGCATATCCATGCAGCCCTTTATTATTTTCCTTAGCGCAGACATCTCTTGATAAAGTTGCTCCATATGCCCTTTCAAATCATATATGAGTTCCATTTCCTGTATGCAGAACAGTTTTGAATTTAACAAGAGATTTAGGGGCCCTTGCATTCACCATATATATCAAGATTATACCAAATGCAAACTCACCATTGAATGATGATTGGTGGATGGCGAGTTTCGACTATCCTGATAGAAAGATTGAGAATGATAAGTTTGTGGAGATGTAGAAACAGCTCTGTCAAAATCGTAACCGGCTTCATTGTCCCTGTAACTCCATGATGACGACATATTAGAATAATCACCAACTTCATGATATGAACCACTTATCAAGCTCTCCTCCTCACGCTCATGCTCCTCTTCATGCTCATCTGCATTATCATCCTCTTCCTGACTTCTCTCCTCTTCTTCCTCAATTACATCTCTTCCATCTTCCCGAGAAGTTCTTGCAGAATGCAAGCGTTCTTGTAAAAATGCCATCAACCCTTGGCTGTCTTCCTCAAGGTCTTGGCAATTTACTAAATGTGCTTGTGTTCCCTTATGAGATTCCATCAATCTATTCATTTTATCCCGGAAGTCACTGGAAAGGAAACTTGACACTGTTTTTCTGCAAACATAAAATACAATGTTCAGATCAATGAAGTTTATAGAAAAATATTTTGTTGAGTTAGAGTCCAATTCCAGAGTAGCTGTATTAAAAATTGACCTTTTCTTATCTAAATAATAATAATTCTTTGATTATCCATTGGATCATTTATGGAATTGACCTTCATGGGTTACTAAGACAGAAGAGAAAATTAGTACCTTTCAAGAAGCCTCCTTATATCCTCATTATGAGAACCAGTCTCAAGCATCTCTCTATACCAGGCTTGCCTGCGCTCTTCCCAATAGCTCTTAGGCTTAGAAATTTCACTGATCCAGTCATTATTAGTTTGATCATCACAATTCTGGTCAATTTCCTCTTCGTCTTCCTCCATCTCATCGTCATAACTGCTTTCAGCATAGTTCTGATTACTTGTCTCTTCCTCATTTACTGTCTCATCATTACTGCTTTTAGTCATAGCATTCTGTTGGTTGCTCGTCTCTGCCGTGTCTGTCGTCTCATTTAGATTTGGATCAATCGTGGACGTAGTTGTCTCACTAGTGTCTTCTGATTTATTGTGTAGTGCCTCGGCATCTGAAGGTGGACGTGTTTCTTGAACCATGACATTTGAACATGGAGGAGCTTCTTCTGTAGTATGATCTATTCTAGTCTGTGACACTGACTTTTGCGTGGATTCTGTGGCATGATTGGCACTGCTTTGAGCTGTCTGGTTTCTTGTGTCTTTTCTGCGTTGATCAGTTGTGGCAGCGTTACCCAGTTGTGTCTTTTTGTTTACTGTCTTTCTTTGAGAACTTCTTGGGTTAGCTACTTCTACCTGGACCGGAGTTCTAAGTTCAACCCCAATGCTAAATCTTTCCCTGTATTGTCATAAAAACATTTGTCATTTAGTATCTTTCAGGAAGGCTGTTATGATGGATCTTGCTGTGTTCATTTTATTAGGGGACCTATGTTTAGCACAAGAAGGAACACTATGTTTGATTAAATGGTCAAGAGCTTACAAAATGAATGGAAAATTTATTGAAACAAAAACCAGCTTTAAAAGGAAATTCTTGATCCGATTACTTTCTTCTCTACTCTCATCATATTCATTCTTATATTTCAATAGTTTCGAACCTCAGACAATAAATAGGTATGGTTTTTAAAATTATACCCTTCAATGCATTTTTCTACTTCCTTTAAATTCATTCAACCAATCAATGAGTATCAATCACAAAGTTCACAGTTGACTAGAAAGGATCAAACCTTAATTGCATAATTGCAGACCCTTGTGGTTGTCTGTTGTTTACTTCAGATGATGCTGATTTCTGGCGGTAGCGATCATTAGCTGACAGATCACGTTGCAATAATTTAATCCGAAGCAATGCCTGGATTCATGCATAGAACACGAGTCACAATCAGAACTAGTAAAAAGCATAACATAGAAGAAGAAGAAGAACCCTTTGGCTTTTCTTTTACCTGAATGCGACCTCTTTGTGCGAACTTGGACACTGCTCCACGCTCTGCCAAGTTGTTAAGCTCCCTACGCCTGTCATTCTCCATCTGCATAAGCAAATCATTGAACGCTTGGCGGCCTCTAATTCGCAGGGGACAAGTAAGTTTATGCTCTAAAGATTGTTGTTGATGGCCACATTCACGCTCTCTACAAGGAGAACTTGCCAGACTACTACTAGCATACCCTTCATGATCATTCTCATCAGCAAAGGAAGGTGTTGGACTCTGATTCAGGTTGGTAGAAGTGAGTTTCTTTATGATATTAGCAACACTGACACCACTCTCAGACCTGCCACGTGGCGAAACAGAATGGTCACTTGATTCCCATTCATGAAATGACGAGGGAAAGGAACTTCCCTCATCATTCCCTGAGGGCCCATCAAAGCATTCTTCCTCCGCCGCTGGAGCATTAACATTCTCATTCGGCGGAGAAGAGGTCGAAACAATCTTCTCCCCTGATGTGATGGTTTTGGAGACACCAGATTGGTTCAGCCTCTTCTCCCAAATCTGAACAAGAGAAGAAGCAACCTTGTTCGGGATCTCTGAGGAGGTAGACTCCTCCTCAGATGTCGAACTGGATGTCCTTGGAAACATGTCACAGTCGTCCATTGACAACAACTCAGCCTCATTCTCCAAATTCGACACCATCTCCCGAGCCTGTTTGGCAGCCCATCGATCGAGAAGCCGCGAGTGTCTCGGGCTGATCAACGAGGCCAAGGAGGTGTCGTTGCCGCTGCTATTTTTGAAGGAGTTGGCTCGTGTGAAACCAAGTCTCTCTAGGCGATTGTTTTTGGGAGCCTTACGCCGATTATTGCCTTCGTTTTTTTTGTTGTTGTCATTGTCGTCGTTTTCCTTTTTTGTGCAATCAGAAGACACTACCATGCACGTGTTAAGGTCCATGACAAAGTTCTTGATGTTTCTTTGCAACGTAGCATGATGATGATGATGATGCGTGCACTTGACGTTGCTTTCCCTGCATGCTTCCCGGTGGTTGCGGTCCCTCAGAACGCTACGGAAGGGCGAGGAAGAAACAGTCTCAACCTGGGACGAGGCCATGTCGGCTTTCTTTGTCGTTTGTTTCCCTTGTTGTTGTTGTTTTATCTCGGTTTGTTGAAACCTTCACGAAGAAGCGTGTGAACGTGGAAACACGGTAACCCATTTGAGGGAAACGGGTGGAGAGATTGGAGACATTGCAACCTCACGAGACTCTTTTCGTTTTGCTGAAAGGCACGGAAAAAGATAAAATAAAACAGGGTAGAGTAAAACAGAGGAGGGATGGAGGGATAAGATGAAGGAGAAAACGATCGTTGTTATAGGAAACAAAGGAGATGTTTATGGCTTATATATGCACACAAATCATCACTACCTAATTCCCGTTTTCTTTGCCTCTATTTAGAGCTCTTTCGTAACGAACGTAGATAAATGAATAAAAAAATAACGTTGGTTGTTTTTCTTGCAGTTTTGCTTCCTCGTACCTAGGAACGTGCTTTTTGGTTGAGAGGGTGTGGCTAAAAACGGAAACAGCCTTGTTGTTGGGGTTTGTTTGTTTTTGTTCGCGAGATGAAGAAAGAAAGAGGGTGTGAGAAAAGTGCAAGACTTGGGAAAATTTGTGAAGGTGATGAGTGTTGTTATAATAGATGGATAAATAAAAGGAATGAAACAGTGTGGTGCGGTGTGGTGAAGGAGACGTTGGGTTTGAACCGTTGGGATTGTGGGGTAAAGGAAAAGAGAGCGTGTTGAGTGAGCGTCTTATTTATTAAGTGATTGTGACCAAATTAAGTTCACAATACAAGTGATTCTGATCTGTGCTTACCATTTTCATTCACAAGTTCCTGCCTTTCTTCTCTCTGCAACTTTATCATTCATTCACTCACTTTTTTTACTGTAGTTTGATTATGGACACTGTCCAGATTCATGTACTTCGGACTTTAACCTGTACAACGAAACCGTTAAACCAATTCTTATTTTGTTTTTTTTCTATTTTTTTCTGTTATTTTAGTTTTTATACTTTAGAAAAATCTATTATTTTAGTTTAATTCTCAATGTTGGATATATTTTAAGTGTTATTGAAAAATATTTTAATCTAAATAAAATAAATATAAAATTAAACATTGAATCAAAATTAAATCTTTTTTGAAGTATAAAACCTAAAATTGTGAAAAAAAGTTTGAAATCATGAATGACAAATTAAGGAGATTAAAATTATAACGTATCTCTCTCTCTATATAATAACGAAATATAATTTATTATTTATATAATGCAATTTAAATGAAACTATTTATTAATAATAAAAGTGATAAAAATTAAAATATCATTATATTATTTTATTTAAACTTATTTATAATAACTATATTATTTGTTATATTTTATTGTTAACTATAATAATAAATGAATGAAATATAAAAACATCTTTTTATATAGTAAGATAATTTTTTTAATGGTTAATATTTATGAAAAAAAAATGAAAACAAAGAGCTTTGACAAGGAACTTACGTGACCAAATTTAATGGGATTTATCATTTTAAACATGTGTATTCTATTCATAATAATCCAACCTGAGATACTTATCAATTACATGATAACTTCTAAATTGGCTTCATCTATTTTTTTATTTTGAAAGAATAATAAATGTTTTCATTCATTTGACTTTTTTTTTTGGGAGGGAGATTAACTTTTTATTAAAAATTAAATATTTTTCTATTATAAGTCTAAGACAATTATAATATATTAAAAAAATGTTATTATTAATTATAAAATATTTATGTTAAAAACATAGTAAAAACGACAAAGATAATTAGTTCGTGTATGTTATTATAAAATAAGTTGCAGCAATGTTTTGTTACATTATTTAATAAGTTAATAACACACAAGTTGTTCCCAAATATATTCTATAATGTCATAATACTATAAATAAAAATATAAAGATTAGATTTTAGGTAAGAAAAAATTAAAAACGATTTTGAATTTGAATTTGTAGCTTATTGTAGGTGTCAGATTTAATAATGCAATAATTTGAATTTTAATTTGTAGCTGCATTCATTGATATACCTGTGTTTTGATTTATGTGTAAAATTTTATTACGCAATTATAGCTTGAATTTTAATTTGTACTTTTTTTATTGAATTGTGGGAATAATTTAAATTTGAATTTGAAAATTTCGTATATTAAGTGAAAAAGATTTGTTAGGTCATATGTTGTACAAAAGGATAGTTTTTAATTTGAAATATTAACTAGCTAGAGGTAATTTTATATGTTTAATATAATTTAAGACTCAATCAAGAATAATTTATCACAATAAAAAAAAATTATGATTCAAGACAAAATTTTACCTACATTTTCGTGGATTTTAACTTGAGACCTAACATCATTCTTATGAAATAATATTAAGATTTTTTTTTTATGAAACTCGAAGATTTATATATGCATTTGTTATTGCGTTAAAATTTTATTAGTTTTAGATTTCTTAAGAGTGTTTTTCAACTTATTTTTTCTCAATTTCAAACTGATTAAGTTTGTTTAATTTGATACTAAAAAATGTTTGTAAATTTTGCTGAACCTTAATATTCAATTAAATAAGATTACTATATTAATGACATAATATTTTTTTATCTATGAATATTTATAATTTACTGTTATAAAATATTTATAGTTATATTTGGTTGAATAAAAAATGTATTTAATATTTGAATATTCATTGAAAAATTGTTGCTTTTATCAAAGAGGATTATATTGAAAAGTGGAATACATGAATAAGTTATTAATCGTTTTGATTAATCTATGGTCAATATTTAATGTGATTAATTTCTTTGATGGACAAACGTTTAAGTTTATTAATATTTTAATTGTAATTTTAAAACAAACAAAAAAATACTATATATGTCGATTTAACAAATCATATCAATTTCTCAATCTCACATTGATATTATTGTAATTTAACATTTTTTATTATTTCATGAGGATTATATATATATATATATATATATATATATATATATATATATATAATGATACAAGTTATTTTCATAATTACCATAAATTATAATAAAATTTAATAAAAAATACAATAAAAACTGAAAATTCATAATAAAAATAAAATAAATATTATTTAAAGTTAATATCATTTATGAGATGAAAACAATAAATAAAAAATAATTTATTCTTTATAAAAAAATTAAATTTATTTTTTTATCAAAATCAATTTGAAAAAGAAATCCCATTGATGATTTTCTTAATATTTGTCTATTTTTTTCTGATTTAATTAAAATTTAATTTTTTAAAAATAATAGACCAGTTTTTAGGTCATTGACTGGTTCGATCAAATTTTTAAATCATTGATTAAGAATGATATTGAATGAAAAGAAACATATTAATAAAATAAGACTATCAAATAAGGCTACAAAATTTATTAAAGCCTTGAAACAAATGGAATATTCAACAAGAGAGTTTAGTATTGTGTAATTTATAAACGAAAAATTTAACATTATAAGAAATATTTATTGAACTTCACTATATTATATTTAAGAAGAAGACACCTACATAATAAGAAGGATATCATCAGTCCAATACCAATGTATCATTCCTAACATTAAACACATTTATATTTAACATTTATATATATATGATAAGTTTTGGAAGAACTATTCAGAAACATATTCTAAACTTACTCACAAAATCATGCAACGAGTACGAAGTAACCATGTCTTCTTTCATCTTCAATATGTTGGAAACAAAATCACCAGTAATGATCCAGATTCTTGTTCTCAAACTCCACCAATTTGTTGTTGGATACGCGCTGAAGATGATCGGACACTTGCCTTGAAGTTGGCCTCTCTAGTGGTGCAGTTTTTGTGCAGTGTAGGGCTATCTCAAGCACCTGCAACGCAGCAAACTCTTCACCAGGCAAAAGGGGTTTCAGCTGAGGATCTATCACTGCTTCACCCGCAATGTCTTGCTTGTCAACGTGCATTTCCACCCATCTAACCATGTTCATCTCTCCTCTGAAAGCTGCATCTGTTGGCATTTTACCACTGACAAGTTCCATAAGCACAATTCCCATGCTGTACACATCAGTGTTCTCCGTGGCCTTCAGTGAGTAAGCATACTCTACAGATTAAGAAACGTCGATCAATTGCTAACACTTGGACAAAATAAAAAAGAAAAGAAAAGAAATGAACAACGTAACTAGATGAAGTTTCTTCGATGTTTTGGTATTAAAATTAGAGTTTCACCTAATCTGGATAATAAAACTTGCCATTAAAAGGTCAACACAGATCATTAATATCTAAGGAATTGTATCCAAGTTTTGTTAAAAAAATTGAGATAAATAACAATTCAAGTTAATGGTGTGATCAACATTACCTGGGGCTATGTAACCATAAGATCCAGCAAAGCAAGAATAAGACTCGGTATTAGATTCTGGATTCTCAATGAGTGTTTTTGCCAGTCCAAAGTCTCCCAGGTGTGCCTCCATGTCGGAATCTAATAATATGTTGCTGGATTTGATGTCCCTGTGAATGATCTTTGGCACACAATCATGATGGAGGTACTCCACTCCATGAGCTAATCCAATAGCAATTTTGAGCCTTGTGTCCCAATCAAGGATCCTCTTTGCTTTGAGGGGCACCCCATGTAGCCAATCCCAAACACTCCCATTCTCCATATATTCATATATCAACAGATTCCAACCTGTTCCTTTGTTTCTTTTGCTACAACAACCCATCAGTTTGACCAGATGCCTGTGTTTGATCCTCCCTAAAGTCTTAATTTCTCTTATAAAGCTTTTGTTCAACAGATAATCATCTTTCCCTGAAATCTTCTTCACAGCCACGGTCTCTCCAGTGGGCAATTCAACTCTGTATACTGTCCCAGAACCTCCACAACCAACTATGAATTCGTCGCTTAGATTGTTTGTGGAATCCATGATATCTTGCCATCTGAAATCTCTCTTTGCAGGCAAAGTTAGAGGGATCAATGATCCCTTTTGTGCTCGTGATGAAGAGGAGAAAACAAAACCCACTTCACCACCTCTCCTGAAAAATTCTTGCTTGCTTTTCAAA